TGTGTGTGTGTGTGTGTGTTTGTGTTGATATGTATGTTTGTGTAATACATACATTCTATGTACGTGTGTGTGTGCGAGTGTGTACGTGCGAGCGTGCTTGTGAGTATAAGTGTATAGGCCTATGTGTGCGTTTTCGTTGTGTCTGTATTTTGTTAGTTAGTCTGTGATGCAGACATCCTACATACATACAGACGGACAGACAGACAGACGGACAGACAGACAGACGGACAGACAGACAGATGGACAGACAGACAGACAGACAGACAGACAGACGGACAGACAGACAGACAGACGTACAGACGGACAGACAGACAGACAGACAGACAGACAGACAGACAGACAAACAACGAAAGAGGGGAAGAATAGAGAAAACAGAAACTCCCTCCTTCCTTTCCATCTTTGAGATTTCTTAGCCTGACTATCGACTCAGCCACGCAGAGAAATACCTACCCAATAAACACCCAAGACACACCACCACAACCACACCTCAATCCGCACAGAAAAAAAGTCCACAATCCTTTACATAAACTGTTATCATCATCATCCCCTTGTCGTCTGCGTAGGGAGAATGAGGAGAAACGGCAAAATACAAGAGCCAGTCGCTGGATTCAAGGGAGGAAATATCGACTGACATCTCGTTTGTAGTTGCGACGCCATGATTGCCATGGAAACGAGAGCAGAAATACGCCGAGTCAGGAAACCAGTTATACTGACGGTACGTTATAGATTTTGCTATCGCGTTTCAGTATAACGGCTACCAGATACGATTTCTCATTTCGTTCGTTTGTTTTAGTGAAGAGAAACACGCTGGGGTAATAACGGTCATTTAGCGTGAAGTAGGAAAAAAGTAGGAATGACAGGCAGATGTAATAAAGGGAAAGGAAAGAAGAAGAAGGACCTGCCGTTAGCGTTATTCAAACCACCAGCTCATTTCGATTGCTTTCTTTCCAGTGGTTAAGTGGTTAGAAAGCTTAAGCTCACAACCACTAATGACAAGCATGTCGGTTATAAAGATGTGTCCAAAGAGAGAGAGAGAGAGAGAGAGAGAGAGAGAGAGAGAGAGAGAGAGAGAGAGAGAGAGAGAGAGAGAGAGAGAGACAGAA